GCCCAGCAATATGTGTTTTAAGAAGCTCTCTAGGTCATTCTGCGTGCACCAAAATTGGACAACTTCTCACCTAAAGTGCTGAGAGAACATGAGGAAGATTGTTCACCCAAAAGAATACGACTATAATTTGGAATCGATCTAGCACTCGTTAATAAAGATGGGAAAAGACAAGTGGTCGCTTTCTTGGAGGAGGTTTGACAACATTGGCATTGTCCTAAGTATCAGGTAGTATTTGGAAAGGTCAGTATACTAGTAACCTGTTGCTCTAAAATTGGCACATAGTGAACAGCCATAGTATCTCAGTGGCAGGCAATAGTAGATGGTTTTTCTTCTGTATCTGCAAGGTTAGGTAGATATTGCCTAAGCTGCCTCTTGAGTCTGAGTGCTGGTTCACCTAGTTTGGGCTTGTGTAGAGTGAGTTTGCTTTCTTCCACATGTCTGTCCTCCTTTTTCTGGAACCCACAGATAACATGGACATGTCCTCATCATGGCAATGGCAGAAATAGGAGAGAACAAGCAGAAATCTGGACCTTGAGGCCCAGGTCTGGAGCTGGAACATCTGTCCAATCCATCTCATTCTATTGGCCCAAGCAAGTCATGTGTCCATGCCCAGATGGAAAATAGATTTGCTTCTGTAGTGAGAGCAATTCAAACTCATAGGGCAAAGGGCGTGGATATAGGTAGGGGTACAGGATGGGGCCTGTTAGGCATCAACCATAGTCAGCAGTGAACAGGCTTCTCTCTGCATTTATTAGTAGTACATGCACAACAAAACCAAAATGTGAATTTGACTTGAGAAAAAAAAATGTATCCTTCATTCTTGTCCCTAAAATAATACTAATTTTGGTTGGATCAACTGTGTGATTCTCAGTGAAGATAAGTTAAGTCAGATTAATCATGCAAATAATTAGCAGAAGAATAAAAGAAAAAGTCATTTTTAAAAAATGACTTTAAAAAAAAGTCTGTAATAAATTGATATATTTAAGCCACTTTGTTTTTCAATAGCATATCAAATCCAGTTCTTAAAAACAAACCTGTGGGGGCTGGGTGTGGTGGCTCATGCCTATAATCCCAGCACTTTGGCAGGTGGATCACTTGAGGTCAGGAGTTCAAGACCAGCTTGGCCAACACGGTGAAACTCCATGTCTACTAAAAATATAAAACTTAGCCAGATGTGGTAGTGCATGCCTGTAGTCCCAGTTACTCAGGAGGCGGAGGCAGGAGAATCACTTGAACCCGGGAGGCAGAGGTTGCAGTGAGCTGAGATCACATCATAACACTCTAGCCTGTGCAGAAGACTCTGTCTCAAAAAACAAAACAAAACAAAAATGAATGAAAAAACAAACAAACAAACTCGTGGATAAGATCTTACCTACCTTTGACTTTCATCGGTAAGTAAACTCTTGGTATTCTGTATCTGCAAGGAATCATCTGATATGCATGTCTGTTTGTTAAACTAGATTTTACTATAGATTTTTGGGATTGGTTTAAAAACTGTGTTAGCATTTCATTCCTAATTAACTGTTGATACAGATGCTAAGGGTACAAGATCATTGTTCACAGCTTGCTCACAGTTACCAGGTGTAATTGTGCACAGACCAGATACTCAAATCAGGAATGAATCAGTTTTTGGAAAACTTGCTGCAAGCACTCAGTGTATCGCCCTGCCATTTTCCGCATTAGCATTTTTGAGTCATGCACCCAATAGAAGAAATAGCAGTTACGTACCCTTTAGGTGAATGAAACCTCTGAAGATGAGCTTTTCTCCATGTTGTTGGCCAAAAATAGAATTTTCTTTTTTGCTTTTCACATGTAATGGGAATACAATGATTTCTTCTCATTGCCAAGTCTTAGCTGAAGGAAGCCTCAGATAATTTTGAAAACTCTCTTATTTTACCAGTTAACAGACATGGCCTAAAACAGTGATATGACTGTTTAAAGTCATCCAATTGGTTAGGGAGGTCTAACCAGAGAAGCTAGGTTTTCTCACTACGCTACACTTTCCATTTGGGAAGTGGAGAGTGTTCATGGTTTGATGAATCAAGTACAGTGTAGGGAGCAGAGTGTTATGGTCCGTAGACATTAGTGGAATTCAAATTTCCTGTTTGTTGAATGAGAAATATACTTGTTATGTTCTTTGGGTCAGGAACAAGTTCCTTCGAAATTAATAATTTTCTTTTGGAGAAATAAGGCAATTTGGAGAAAAGTGCCACGGGCCAGTTCTTTTTTAAAATCAATTCATAGGGTCAGCAATTCATAGGGTCAGGTCTAGCACTGAGGTGGGATATGCTAGGGATAGGGCGAGAGATAGAGCTCAATGACTTTTTCAACAACTAGAGTTATTTGCTTAATTCTAAGTTCAGTTTTTTGAAAAAGAACTTCAGGGTACAATATGAGCAGGGAGTGGGGTGAGGGCTTCTCAGGGCACCCACAGGCCCCCATGAAATAGATGTTGTCAGAAGCCCACACCTAAAATTTACTTAGCATTCATCTCTTCCTTTTCTATTTTATGATGCTGAAGCAGAGGATAAAAAGATAAAGAATTGCACAGCCTGGCACGTGAACGCTCCCCCACCGCGTGCTGCCGTTGGGAGGAAGTAGCAGCCGCCAACCGCTGTTTTATTAATAATGAGGCATTCACATAAATTCCATGCAAAATTGATTTTTGACTGTTATATAAGAATCAAATACCAGGCTTTAAAAAGTAATTGAGAAATCTATTTGTAATTTACTTTGGCTGTAAGAACCTGCTGTCCTGCCATAAACAATTTTACAGTATTTTCCCCCTGTTAAGCAGCTATTTTTATACATCTGTTTGGCCCCTTTTGTATGAAATGCAGTCAGGAGGTGTAATGAATACGGGTTTGAAACAACATGTGGCCGCCATTTCTTTCAGTTTCATCTTCACGGGGATCTCTTGCAAGTTGTGATATCATTTTCATTACAGTATAGGTGAAGTATGTTAATAGCTAATTATCTGACACTGGGTGTTGACTGATGAGTCATAAATATGCTTTCTGGAGGTAGGAAAGCATGATGAAATAGCTAAGCAATGAAACAAACAAAAACCCAACAAACCAAAACAGTCTATTTCTCACTTGTCTTTAAATGCCTTAAGGGTTATTGTCAAATGGAAAGGTATTCTGTTACAAAGAGTTTCTCTGGGAACCTATTTAATATTCAGCAGTCCTGCACATATTCAAATCTGCCAAAAGTATTTAAAGTGTAATTGATTTATTTCTAATTTTTCTTAAGATGGAAATTAGAGGGACAAGAAAAGTTTTAAAAGGCATAGGTAATGTTACGTATTTTGGCTTAATTTCTATTTTGTAAGGATTCTTTCTCAGAAGGGAACATACTTCTGTTCTTATTCTAGGTACTTTTTTTTTTCTCCAAAAGAAACCCCTTAAAAAGAAAAAATCCCTAATATGTTCAAAAAATCAATTCCCCATAGTTTTATTGAGATATACTTTACATAAGATAAAATTCTAAGTGAATAGTTCAATGTATTTCGGTAATTGTATATAGCTGCATAACCATTGCCATGATCAAATTAGAACATTCCCATCACCCTGGAAGTTCCCTTGTGCCCCCACAGTTAATCTATTCCCCATCTCTTGGCCCTGGCTAACCAACTACTAATCTGCTTTTTGTTGCTATGGTTTTGCCTTTCCTAGAATTTCACACAGACAGAATCATAGTATGTAAGCCCTTTGTGTTTAACTTTTTTCACCTAGCATAATATTTTTGAGATTCACCTATGTTGTTGAGTGTACTAATATTTTGTTCCTTTTAGTGCTGAGTAATACTCCATTGGATACATCACGATTTGTTTATCCGTTCACTAGTAAGGGACACTTGGGTTGCTTTCAGTTTTGATGATTATGAATAATGCTGCTATAAACATTTATATAAAAGTTTTGTGTGGGCATATTTTTATTTCTCTTGGGTAAATATCTAGCATAAATATTGCTAGGTCACATGGTTTGTATATCTTTAACTATATAAGAAGTAGTACCATTTTATACTTTCGCACAGTCATTGTATGAGAGTTCCAGTTGCCCTACCTCTTCACCGATCCTTGATGTTGTCAAGTGTGTATAAGTAGCTCTTTATGATTTTAACTGGCATTTCCCTCAGAATTTGTGATGTAGAGCATCTTTTTATATGCTTATTGGAGTTTGTATAACTTCTTTTGTAAAGAGTGTCTTCAAATCTTTTCCCCAATTTATTGGGCTCTTGCCCTCTTAAGCTATAACAATCTTGTATATATTCTGGATGCAAAACTTTCTGTCAGATATGTAGATAAGTTTTGCGTATCTATTATTTCAGTCTGGCTTGCCTTTTTTAACGGTTTTTTTTTTCTGAAGAGCAAAAGCTTTTAATTTTGAAAAAGTTTATAAATATTTTTTCTTATGAGTTGTGCCTTTTATGTCCTGTTTAAAATGCCTTTCCTAACTGGTGTCGCAAACATTTTCTCTTATGTTTTCTTTCAGAAATGTAATAGTGTTAGCTCTTACTGTTTAGGTCTATGGTGTATTTTGTGTTAGTTTTAAAAATATGTTGTAAGCTTAATTTCCCCCCTACAGATAGTTAGTTGTGGCAGCTATTTTGCTGATTTTCCCGTTTAGTTATGTTCACATCTTTGTCAAAAATCAACCGTATAACTTTGGTTTTATTTCTGGACTCTCTATTCTGTTCCATGAATCCATAGGTCTATCCTTGCCTCAGTGCCACACTCTCTTGAGGATAGTAGCTTTCTTGTAAGTTTCAGAATCAAGTAGAGTAATAAATCCTTTAACCTTATTCTTCTTTTTCTAATTGTTTTGGCTATTCTAGATCCTTTGCATTTCCATATACATTTTAGCATCTGCTTTTCAATTTCTTCAAAGAAACCTGCAGGATTTTGAGATAGCATTGAATTTAGAGATCAATTTGGGAAGAATTCATTTAAAATATTAAATACATTTTAAATGACTAAAATTATAAGAAACACATGTGTGCTTGCTTCAGCAACACACATACTAAAATTGGAATAATACAGAGAAGATTAGCATGTCCCCTATGCAAGAATGACACGGAATTCATGAAGCATTTGTATTTTTAAAAGCTCAATATTACTGATTATTAGATAAATACATATCAAAACCATAATGAGATACCATCTCACAGCAGTCAGAGTGACTATTATTAAAAAGTTAAAAAAATAACAGATGCTGGTGAAGTTGTGGAGAAAAGGGAACACCTGTACACTGTTGGTGGGAGTTCAAATTAGTTCAGCCATTGTGGGAAAAGCAGTGTGGCTGTTCCTGAAAGAGCTAAAAGGAGAACTACCATTCAACATAACGATCCCATTGCTGTGTTTATATCTAGAGGAATGTAAATCATTCCACCATAAAGACACATGCAAGCAAATGTTCATTGCAGCACTATTTATAATAGCAAAGATGTGGAATCAACCTAAACACCCATCAGTGACAGATTGGATAAAGAATGTGATACATATACATCATACAATACTATGCAGTCATAAGAAAGAATGAGATCCTGTCTTTTGTGGGAACATGGATGGAACTGGAGGCCATTATCCTTAGTAAACGAACACAGGGAACATAAAACGAAATACTGCATTTTCTTACTTATGAGTGGCAACTAAGGGATTGAGAACTCATGAATGCAAAGAGGGGAACAGGAGACACTGTGGCCTACTTGAGGGTGTGCGGGGGAGGTAAGAAGCAGAAAGAATAACTATATGTACTAGGCTCAATAGCTGAGTGATGAAATAACCCGTACAACAAACTCATGACATGGGTTTACCTATGTAACAAACCTGCACATGAACCCCAAACTTAAAAGTTAAAAAACACAACATGCACACTAAAATGTGACACACACCAATTTTTTAACACACTGTGGATAATTAACATGTCAATTTGTGCAAGCAGGTGAACGAGGTTTTCAGTGCAGACAGAATAAAGCTTTTTTTTTGTCATCTGTTTTACCAAGGTGTGGCTTGACATCACAAACTGCTGTTAGAAGACAATTACCATTTGTATCTCTTAATATACGTGAATTATGATAGCCTCAATTCTATGCAATCTGAACAAAATACAGCAATCAGTTGGAGGCAGCAGTTAATGTCTGTTGCAATTGTGCTTATCAAGACAGCTTCATTATTCATTAATTTACTTTATAGTACATTTAGGTATATGTAGAAATTTGAATTCTCACAAGTTTATGCTAATAAAAACTTCTTCAAAATGTTTTATGTATTTCAACTGCATATCTATTATTGCAATCTGGCTTGCCTTTTTAAATGTTTTTTTTCTGAAGAGCAAAAGCTTTTAATTTTGAAAAATTTTGTTTACTTATTTTAGAATTTCAGGGTTTTACTTGAAATTCTAACAAGTTAGAACAGAGGCATTGCAATTTAGTAGAAAGAAAATAGGTTTGGAACAACAGAGACCTGAGTTTAAATGACAGCTCTACCCACAAGTAGCTTGGGCAAATTATTTGTTTCTGAGCCCAGCTTGTCTATCTGTAAAATGGGGATAATAATGCCTGCTTCACAGGTGGGTTGCAATGAAGTATTATGTGCAAACACCTGATATATGCATAGCTGATGTGTATGAAGGAATGGTTGATGTTAGTAAAAGTGGTCTTCGAGTCTGGTAAAAGTTCTGATGGACCTGACGAACGTTGAAATAGCTTAAAATGTGAGCCAGGAAGCTTGCTTGTTTTACATGTGGCTTACCTGTGGTGGTGTGCCTTCTCTGTCCACAGATCTTTAATAGCAACTTAACATACATTTGTAGAAGCTCAGAGTGAAAACCATTATATCACCAAGCAATATTCTGGTGAAAGGTCTCAAATTGGATGGATAGTGCCAACTCCAAATAACTTTCCATAGGCAATTTGAAAGCCCTCATCTCTTGGAAGTTTTTAGTAAATGATGGTCTTGTAGTGCAGAGTATTCTTTTTTACGTAATCCAGGCGGCATTGGCCTTGACTGCACTTGGACATTGTTTTGCTTGCTCCTCTGGCTGTAGCTTTACTTCAGTGAGTCCCTTCCCTTTATTCCCATTCGGCACAGGCATGTCAGTGAAGTCACCCTTGTGAACACCATAAATGCATACTGGTCATCAGTGTTTGCCTTTCAGCTGCTCATTCTTCACAGCCCCAGTGCCATTGGAGGTGGGTGCTTGGTAAGACAATGCAATGAACAGGCTTTGAGAGGCAGGAGCCCAAGATCTGTCATTTGTGCATGAACTTGAACCAGTTCACAGATTTCATTTTCTGCTTGATAAAATGCCTGACATACTCAAGGGGCTACCATAGGAAACTGTATGAGAAATAGCATGGGGAGTGTGCATTGCAAATTGTGAAGTGCTATATAAATCTTTGGGGTTGCTGTAATAGGATACATCTGATACCACTGTCCTTTTGTTCCGTTTCCTCCTGCCACCAGAACTGCAAGAAGTTAAGTTCCATCTAAATTACCTGACTTAAATAGAATTAGAATGAGGGTGGTGATGACTATAAACACAACCAAAAAACTAGAATCATAGACTCCTGGAGTTGGACAGAACCCCAGTGGTCATCTATTTAAACATCTATGGAAAAAAGTAAGCATAGATCTCAAAGTCTCAGGGAAGGGAAAACCAGGCTTCCCATCAACACTGTATCTGTATCAGAGATGCACATATTTTATAGTTTATAGTTGAGAGACTCTAGGCCAAAAGACTTGCAGATGAATTGAAACACAAGAGATTCTGGAAATAATTAGAATATTTTGGCCTCTGGTAAGTTAACAGAAAGCAAACAATCATTCCAAGGTAAGGTGAAAAATGTATATTTTTAATTTTTAATAGAAGTATGGCTCATATTTTATTATTTAAGGTGAACAGTGTTTAGAGTTTTCCAGCGCTGATGCAAATAAAAAGTTAAAAAGTCCTGGATGGATGAGACAAGCTGAATTTTACTGATTTGTTTTTTGGTTACTTGTCATTTTATTTAGTTATTTTACTGGTTTACTACATTTTGCTGATTCATACACTGGTTTGTTTATTAACTATCAAATTGCTGTGCCTATAAATTTAGCAGATAATTGATGAATAGCTAAATAAAATGTGACATATCCATAAATGGAATATTATTTAGCCATTAAAAGGAATGAAGTATGGATACATGCTACAGCATGAATGAGGTTTTAAAACTTTATGTGAAGTAAGAGCAGTCACAGAGAGCCATATATTGTATGGTTCAATTTATAGGAAATGTCTAGAATAGGTAAACCACAGAAACAGAAAACAAATTAGTGATTGCCAGGGACTCCAGGGAGATGAGATCAGGAATTACTGCTGAGAGATATGGGGTTTCCTTTTGGAGTGATGAAAATGTTCTTAAATTGGGTAATAGTGATAGTTGTGCATCCTCATGAATACACTAAAAAGTCACTGAATGGTATACTTTAAAAGGGTGAAGTGTATGGTATGTAAATTATATTTCAACAACCAAAAAGAAATGTATTGTATTATAATTTTTTTTTAATTTTTTATTGGATTATAGGTTTTGGGGTACATGAGCAGAGCATTATGATTTTTAAAATTAAAAAATTATATCTCAACAAAATCCTAATTTTAGACAGGAAATTAGGAATACAATTTTTTAAAATCATCTGTACCATGGATGAAGAACATTGAAACAATGATAGTGTAATTGAAAGGAACACTGGTCTTGGCAAGTGGCATGATCTTGGGCAAATCACTGAACTTCTCTTAGCCTTGGTTGTCAAATATAAAAGAAGGGCAGTGATTCCTTTCTACCTCTGTCAGAGAGTTAAGGTGAAATAATAGCAATAGTATGTATTTAATGAGTTTCCATTATCTACCAGGCACTATCCCTGGCATTTTAAATGTGTTATTGCATTTTTCCTATGAAGTATTATTCTTATCCCAATTTTACAGGTAAAAAGTAAAATAATGTGTATAAAACTGCTGTACAATTGGAAGACATGAATATATTATTATACAAAATCATTAAAAATAATTTTTTCAGTTTATTAAAGTGATTATGTGTCCATTAGAAAAAATGAGAAAATATAAAAAGCTATTAGAAAATTAAAACCAACTCACAAACCCAATACAACAGTAATATTTTATATATTCTCTTCCAGTTTTAAAAAGTATATGTGAATATGTAAATATATATATGTATATATATTTAAATTGTATACCATAAATACAATATTGTAGTCTCCTTTTTAGAATGATTTTAATAACTGGGTGTGGATGTATTCTCTTAAGGTGTGTGCTCACTGCATCTGGTTTAAATCAGATGCAGTAGATGCTGCTGTCGTTTACTACACAGAAGTTCTCTATGTGCTAGCTAAAATGACCCTGATTTTGTTCAGATGTATGGAAACAACTTGTTCAGTGAGGATGGGAATCCTCCCAGCTTAGGAGGAGAAAACTGGACTGATCAAAGCCCTGAGACTTGGCTGCCCATGATTCATTCCCAGCCAATCATGACAATCCCATTCTTCGTAGTCTGCAAGTAGATTAGGGGTTAGCAAGGGACACAGTTCTGCCAATGAGACATAAAGCGAAGTCTGATAGGGGCTTTTGGAAAAGATTTTTCTCTTGCTAAGGAGAGAGAAGCATGAGGCAAAAACCTTCTCCTGTTGGAGATGCCAGCCCTGCCTCCCTGCCACTGGCTCCTTGGCTCTGTGGCCATCTTCCTGGTGCAAGGGAAAGCCAGCGCTGGCTCAGCAATGCCAATCTGACCCTGTGTTCCAGCACTGCCTTTACTCATCTGGGAACACGTGGCTTCACACTTGGTATGTGGAATTATAGCGCTTGAAGACCTGCAGTCCACAGTGAAATAAATTATATGGCATATATATTTTAAAACACATGTATTTCTCAAACATTTTTTAAAAAATTTAAAGCATGTATATATTCATTCACTATTTTTAAAAAGTGTAGGACAAGTTGAGCTTTCTGGTGTAAACAGTATCAATAATGTTTTTGTAATTTCTAGGTTTTTATTTTTGCTTGTTTTGAAACAGAAAAAGGACATAGAGACAATTAAAAATTGGTAATAGA